AGGAAGAAATTAGGAAGAAGCGCTGGAAGTGGGTAGGACACACATTGGGGAAAGCACCCAACAGCGTTACAAGACAAGCCCTCACATGGAATCCTCAAGGCGAAAGGAAAAGAGGAAGACCAAATAACACACTACGCCGGGAAATAGAGATGGACATGAGAAAAATGAACAAGAATTGGATGGAACTAGAAAAGAAGGTCCAGGACAGAGTTGGTTGGAGAATGCTGGTCTGAGGCCTATGCTCCATTAGGAGTAACAGCCGTAAGTAAGTAAGTAAGTGGGTGTTAATATGTCCCATCGTTTTACCCCCCCCCCAGTGCTAACAAAATCCGAGGTCTTAGAAAGAAGGTTCACAAACTGTGATCTAATAAACTGAAAGTGGGTTTCTTTCTCGTTGAGTTAATTAACTGTTTTGATCGTAAATTACGCATCAAAACTACTGTTTACACTTTAACTGCATCTACCCCAGTTAAAGTGATATTTTATTGAGTTTTTCGATTTTGCTTCTGTGTATTTACTGCATCGAAGCATACTTGGTCGACTTTTACTTGGTTTATTTAGTTACGGTTTGAAACTCCTTCTACATATCCTGTTTTTGTCACCGTTCTAGTTGATTTTCAAGATGGCTAGGTCTACTCATAAATGTGGACAACCATACAGCTTATTTCCCGTGGACGAAGGGATGCAATGTGATGAGTGTAATAAGTGGTTCCATAAGATGTGCACCCGATTAAGCCCCACTGCATATAAAAGGTGTTCAGAGCCCAACTCTCATTGGCTTTGTAGTTTTTGTTGCTCGAGCAAAACATTGCTTATCCAGGAAGCAATTAGTCTCCTGGTGTTGGCTAATAAGAAGGTTGATGAGGGCTATACTGATAACATTGGTACGGATGGCGAAGATTGCGTTAGTGTCGTAAGTGCTATCACGGCGCAAGCCAAACATCTCCCTGTGCAACCCGCAGTTAAACGATCTCCCCCGAAACGATCAGTGAGTGACACGTCATTAGACGTTGGTGGCCATATTGCTACAGCAGCAACCGGTGACCCAGATAAAAAAATTACTGTCCCGAATTGTTCTAATGTAGACGTTTCGACTGATGAAAAATGGATGACACGAAAACGCTCTACGATTTCACTTTATAACAACTATAAACTTAATAAGTTGGGAAGCATTTTGCGAACCAACAAATGTTGTAATTTATAGATCATGCCTGTAAAAACGGTGTGTACCTGCACATGCAGAAATATATTATTATTATTATTATTAAAGACTGTTTACTTGGTAAGTCCTTGGTGGACTCTCAGACCAATCCGCCAAAGCTCCAAAGTAAAGCTTCGTGTGACATTGTTGTGAGTCATTCGCTTGGCTCCCAGGACTCTGTTAAAATAAAAACTAATCGTAAGATACCAGTAGTTAAAATACAGGACCTAACGTCACGGTCGAAATCTGTGAACACAGTTTCAAAAGAAGCTAAACCCATCCCTAGTTTAATTTTTGGAATCTAGAGGAGTCGAAAGACAACGACCCTGCTAGAAGACATGCACATGACCTGCAGTTAGTGGAGTCTGTGGTAACAAATGTACTACGTGAAGAGGTTTCAGGGGTACATATTACAAACGTAATACGACTTGGTAAATGGGTTGGAGGCGAGACCCAACCGAGAAGAATCCTGAAGTTGGTTCTCGGGAGTTTCGAAGAAAGAGACATATTATTGAAAAGCGCACTAAAAACTCGTGACTCAAATATCCGTATTCGACCAGATTGGCCGCTTGAGGATCGAATCAAGTGGAAGAATGCTCTTACGGAGTTGAGGACTCGCACATTAAATGGCGAAAATAACCTTAGCATTAAGGGTTTTCGGATAGTCAGGTCTTGGAAGCCAATCCTTCCGAGGCCTGTATGGGTAGAGCGATTGATTTCCCAAACACCTTAAGTGTGTGCTACACGAACGCTCGTAGTCTTAGAAATAAAACGTCCGAGCTAAGTCTGATGGTGCAAGAATTATGTCCCGATATAATCGTTGTTACAGAAACTTGGCTCACAGTTGATATGGACTGTTCTCCTTTCATTGCTGGTTATATCTGTATCAGAAGTGATAGAGTTTCAAGTCGCAAGGGGGGAGGTATGATATTATACGTTAGGAATCACTTTCGTATACAATCAACCATATCGGAGGCTCATATCAGTGACACATGTGAGGTGGCATGTTGTAAGATTAAATCTAGAAATGGGTTAGTGACTATAGGAGGAATATACCGTAATCCGTCTTGTCTTGCTGACGACTTTATCCTAAGACACATCTGTTCTTGGAGTATGGCAGAATGTTTTCTCATCATTGGGGACTTCAACGCACCGCATATCAATTGGATAGAGCTTACAGCTCCAAGTAGTGGTTTCGATAGCGACCTTTTATCTACCGTTATTCAGTGTGCACTTGTACAATGTATCACAAAACCGACACATATTGATTTGCAACATGATCCGTCACTGCTGGACCTCGCCCTCATCCACCACTCTGAGGATGTCTTTGATATCCAGTACCTTCCTCCACTAGTGAACAGTGATCACGTTGTAATTCAATTTAAGTTTAGGACACATGTTATACAATTCGTATCTGCTCCACCCCGTCCCAATATCTGGCGAGCTAATATTCCGGCGATCAGAAACTGTGCTATCTCGACTGATTGATCGGTCGACGCGGATGGATTGATCGAAGATGAATGGAATAAGTTTAAGGCTACATTCGAGTCCGTAACGTCGCCGCTTATCCCATGGTCAGCACGTAAGCTATCAAATTGCCCTCCATGGATTAATAAGGAAACCCGGAAGCTGTTAAAGCGTAGGAAACATTTCTGAGACTTATTCTTGTTGACAGGTCATGAACCATTTAAGCGCGAGTACCAGAACTTCCGTAATATCTGTAAGAAAACCATAGCCAAATCCCGTACCACTTACGAACGACAGTTAGTATATGATAGCCGTACATGTCCGAAACGATTGTTTTCGTATGTTAAACGGCGGACGAAACGTAGTGATGGTATTCCCCCGTTACTGTTACACGGAAATTCAGAATTACTAGCTGAATCAGATCGAGCAAAAGCTGAGACTTTTTCAAACTATTTTAGCGAAGTCTTCTCTACGTTTATTTTAACAAATATTTGTCCCAATCACACCGAGATACCAACCATTGAATCTGTACAGGTGACTGAGGAAACTGTCCTTCCATTGATAACTAACCTCAAACCTGGTAAGATACCGGGCCCTGACGGGTTACATCCACGGTTGCTGTCATCTCTTGCGGACATTATTTCAAAACCGCTTGCGACACTCTTCAACATGTCCCTCTCACTCGCTCAACTCCCTAGAGATTGGAAGGACGCTATAGTCAGTCCTATATTTAAGGACAGTCAGCGACAGATAGTATCTAACTACCAGCCTGTCAGTCTAACTAGTATAGTCGTTAAGTTTCTTGAAAAAATAATTCGGGTTAGGTTGCTAAGCCACATAGATTTACACAATCTGTTAGCTCCTGAGCAACACGGATTTCGTAACAAGCGTTCATGTTTGACTAACTTGCTTATTGCGAGGGAGGATTGGACAGCAGCCCTAGATCACGATCTGTCTGTCGACGTGATATTCATAGATTTTAGCAAAGCGTTTGACAAGGTTTCACACGTAGGTTTTATTCAGAAGCTCACGAGCTTCGGAATAATAGGTACTGTACATGAGTGGATAGGAAATTTATTATGTGACCACAGACAGAGAGTTAGGGTCAATGGAACGCTATCCGATTGGAAGCCGGTCAAAAGTGGTGTACCTCAAGACACCATCTTAGGCCCTCTGCTCTTCCTTCTCTACGTTAATGAGTTTGTAACAGCTAAGGTTGGTTGGTTCAGAGTTGACCCCAAACAACCAAGCATATGCCAAAACAGTATTGTTCAAGTATTCATTCACTTCCTTGTTTTGTATAAGCGTTATATTCCCTATTATCTGGAGAACAACAAAAAGTGTGGCTGATCATCTGGATCTTCAAGCTGACTTAGACGATTTAGTCAGATGGGCTCGAGAGTGGGGCTTAGAAATCAATGCTAGGAATAGTGTACTAATGCACATCGGTCACGGTAATAGTTACCGTTACACTATTGAGGGTAAACCTCTTCCATGCGTTCAAGAGCATAAAGACTTAGGAGTAGTGTTAAGTCATGATTTAAAAACAACTACGCATTGCAAAGCAGCCGCTGTCAAAGGATTTCGAGCGTTATGGTCACTTCGCCGAGCGTTCAAATCTTTGGACGAGGAAACGTTTCGAATTTTATATCCCATATATGTAAGACCACATTTAGAGTACTGTATTCAAGCAGCTAGACCGTGTCTGGTAAAGGATACTAACTCCCTTGGGCGTGTCCAGCGTGTGGGAACGAAATTAGTGAAGGGTCTTTCTAGACTCCCTTACGATGAGCGCTTAAAACGCCTAAATCTTTTCCCCTTGTCGTATCGTAGGACACGAGGTGACCTTATACTGGCATTTCGTATCTTTAATTATGATTTGGGTGTTAATATGTCTTATCTTTTTGCTCCCTCCAGCACTAATAATCTCCGAGGTCATAGCAAGAAGGTTCATAAACCAAGATCTAATAAACTTAAAGTGGGGTCCCGTTTTTCTCATCGAGTAGTCAGTGATTGGAACGCCTTACCCGAACAAGTGGTATCAGCCCCATCAGTGAATACCTTCAAGGAGAAGCTGGACCTTCACTGGAAAGCAGTGCGTCAGGATTAACACAGGTTCATCAACCTACTATCCTTATTACTGAAGACTGAAGACTGTTTTCTCATCGAGTAGTTAATGATTGGAACGCCTTACCCGAACAAGTGGTATCAGCCCCAACAGTGAATATTTTCAAAGAGAAGTTGAACCTACACTGGAAGGCAATCTGTCAGGATTAACACAGTTTCACCAACCTAATATCCTTATTACTGAAGATTGATTCATTCTAAAATAGCCTTGTGCTTTTTCAAACTCAAGGTCGACGGGTATTTTCCCTCTTCACGCAAGATATATACCCATCCTTCAAGTGTACTTTGAGTACGTAACCCCCATGTGATTTGGGTATGCCTGTCTCACATTTCAATTAAATCACGAGAAATAGCTTCTGAATAAAGCTCAACATTCTGTTAAATTATCCAAATCTCCACGAATTTGTGGAATATTTACCCACAATGCCCACCAACTTCGAAGAAATGCACTGGATTTATTTGATAGATCTTCAAAAATTTTGATTATTTTAGGGAAAACCCCAAATTCTTCCAAGGTTTCAGGGGAATTTCTGGAATTTTCTCCGTTTCCCTATTATTCGCAGTCAATTAGGCAAGCTTCACATAGTACAAAAAGTAGTCTCCTGTTGTTTCCCACGTAAACATAGTTATTAAGTTTGGGGAAAACCCCTAAGTTTCCCCGAATCCATAAGAGTGTGATCAATCTGTAACTTTCAGATCTAGTGACGTAATTGCAATGTTTCATCTGGTTCATACGTCGAAACTGGAGGAACTTCATAACGAAGTTTCAAAGATTATTCGTGGAAACCGTGCCTAACTTATGCGTTCCCATTAAACTAACGTGGCGCTAGATGCGGTCAGTCCGCGAATAATAAAGCCTGGGTCCAAATGCAATGTATGTGAGACTAACAAATGTCCAGATCTTAATTCCAAATGACCACGCATGGTTGTTTATGAAGACTAAGAGCCAATCAATATAAAAATAAGTGTAATTATAATCATCTACGTGCAGCAAAAATTCTGGAGCTTTGTGAACAAGCTTCAATGGATTTCCCCAAAATCGGTGGAAATACTGACGAAAACCCCAAATTTTTCGAAACGTTTTAAGAATTCCCTCGAAGTATATCGGAAGTTCCGGGTTTCTAGTCGCATTTTGCCGAGACTATAACTTACGGATGAACCGATCAGATTTAACGGACTTTGGGTTTTTGCGCCAAATCCATTTGGCTAAATAGCATTTTAGCATTATGGGTGTTGTCAGTTCATGATAAAAACATTAAGTATAGTTACTAACACTAACGTCCAACCGTAATTACTAGTCCTGAGTCCTCACTAATTTATAACTCTCATATAACCCTATTATGTAAGTGGGCATTCGCAGTCATTTTATTGTTACTCAAAGGTCATCTGTAAATTATAGTCTCACTGAATAAACTTATAGACCACATATATCTGACTTATTCATCCCTCTTTGTCCTTTACTTCCAACATCACTGTGACTTCACACTATGTGCATTGTGTGGTGTGAGATTGTGCTCGTTTTCACTCTTGCTGCGTTTGTCGAGATTCGATTGGTCAGTGTGAAACTTTGTACTCTATAGGTTTAATGTCTTGATTTTCGATTTCAAATTCAGCTACCGTTATTTTAGCCTAGTTCTGTTTTTATGAAAGTCGTTCGTTGTGTAAATGTTGTTTACAACTATTTCGTCGACGAGTAATCATGAGACCGGGTTTTCTGTTGATGGTCTATGTGAACATTGTTAGCTAAATGTAGTTTCAAACACATTTTTGTCAGACGCATTTCGTCACACTCATATTGTTGGGAGTGGAAGCATAGTTTAGCGCCTTATTAGACACTGATATCTGAAATTACTTAAGATCGACTTAACAAAAAGTATCCGCAATTACATCAGTCAGTCAGCTACAACGTAAGACTAGGCACATTTATGCATCGGTCCAAGTCGCCACACTTCATCAGCACAACAAGAACACCGAATTCATAGAGGTAGTTGGTTCAATTGTAATGATGTATGAAAGAAAGATTATGTATAAGGATATAGTACAGAAAGAAAGAATTAGTTGATAAAAATAAAGATATTAAGTAATTTTAATCTCGCAATTTAAGGGAAGGCAGATAGCGTAGACACCGACACCATTGTGATCGATTCTGAGCCATGTCACACAGAGTCTCTGACCATTGATTACGATAGTCACGCGGATCCCAACTAAGTAGTCTGCATCTACCAACATGGCTTAGACTAGAAGTTAGTGACTTCAGGGACTGATACCACGTTTTTCACATCATTAACAATATACCAAAGTTTATCAAATATTACTCGCATACCTACCTATCGTAATCGGTCACATATAATTCGTACAACAGGATAAAGCTGACTATTGCAAAACAAATTTCTACTTCGATGTCATTAGGTGTATAGCGGGTCAGATTCTAGGCTCTACTGACTCTAATAATATATTTGATTCTATTTATTAACCGGTAAAATTTATCCTCATATCTCTTTCGCTGCATATAGCTTATTAAATGATACATACTTGCGTTTGATGGAGTGATTAATGTTTAGAGTATTATTTTGTCAAAGGTTTCTTGAAGAACTTCTTTACGTCCTGTAAAAAATACCGTAACATTCAGTTAATTCATTTAAATGTTACTATTATTTTTATCTTATGTAACTGTTTTTATAAGCTCATGATTATTCATACTTGTTATCAGTTTTAATTTTTCAGAACCTTCTTTCGTATATTGAAATCTTCCACCGCATGAATTTTGAGTATACAAATGGAGACCTTATATTACGGTCAACTAATACCTCTTCAAAGGTAAAAATATTTCAAATCCTCTTTTCCTGTAGTTCGATAAAACTTTGAATTCCTTATGGACTCTCGCTTATGAATCCAATTACTTTCATTACAAAATTGATACATCGTTGAGTTCAGTAAAGAAAATTTGTTCTGGAAATGTAAATATTTTGATTTTAGTAAGTAAAGTCTGTTAAAGATGTAACTCTAGCCTAACAATAATCGATTCAGCCATCGGCGTAAACCACAACTATTTAAGACCATTAGTGATCCACTTTCGTCCGAATCCTTCAATTTTAACAAAGTCCCAGAACATGAATTCTTGTTAAATGTTTCTGAAAAGTATACCACAGTAAGCATACCACTTTTTTAATGTTTAGAAATCATGTTCTATACTGATAAATGTCAGTCCATTTTCATATTTACATTCTCTCTTGGTTCCGGAAGTAGAAAAATGCCACAATCAGGTATGAATGCATATTTTTTTAACAATTTCAGTTCCTTGGAAAAGACTCCTTTTACTCAGTAATCAAGTGTTTTCTTTTGAGTAGCAACAGGTTAGTTTTACATTTTTTCACTACTTAAGTCAAATTGTTTGTAAAAGTTATATGAGCTATATTGTTGAAAATAATATGATCATATTTCTATTGTTGGGACTTCCAGACTTTCGTGTTAGCCTAGGGTGAATTTTTTCCCCAGTTTTTTTATATATTACGGTTACTTTAAAGTCATAGGAAACGAATAACCTCATGTAGAAAGGTACATAAATTAACTAATTGACTGTCTCAAGTGTTTTTTTTTCAGGGCTATCCATCGTTGTTATTTGACTATGTCATAGATAGTTTTTCAAAGTTAACAATGCCGCGCATTTTAGGAATTGATCCCCTAAAACTTGCAGTTTTATGAATAACTTTAATAATAACACAAGGATTTAATCAATTTCTCTACCTCTCTAAATGCGAAACTTTATTTCTAAACTAGCGTGCATCAGTCCATGGCCTAACCACCGGGAGTGAATTTATTAAGTAGGCTTACCATTTCAGTTGATTTAGAAGCCTCATAATCACTGTTGTGTTATTGCTTCATAAAATTCCAACACAGATACAGGAAGCTTAGTTCATTTTCACCACACCGGACCATATTTACACTTCATATCCGTGTATTTTGTAATGCCTTAATACTGGTGCAAAGCTCAATAAATTAGAAGACATTCGTACATTGCATGTAATTGAGCGTAGCTGTCCTCAAAGCTACTCGCGTTTAGTTGGACCACTAAGTAAGTAACCCTAAGGTTAAGCAGTGTTCTAGGTAAAAATGTTAAGTCGATTGATCAGGCTATAAGCATTCTTCAACTTAATCGGAATGTGTGAAACGTATGCCTGTCCAATCCCTATTCAGATGTGCACCCATTCTTTATTTCTCTGTAACATAAGTTCAGTGCTATTCAGTTTATTCTGTTTCGTTTTATCCATCTCATCTTGTTTTTTACCCTCCTTATTATAATAACAACTATCAAAAAACTTAAGCTTCTCGAGTATTTTCCACAGTTCAGCAGTTGATCAGTTGCTTATAGATTAAAAAACTCAATTTGCAAAAAATAGGTCAAAGTTCGAATCTCGATCCACTCATTTTATATTACAAACCCACGAAACATGTAGTCCTAAACGGCGTAATATATACTTGTACTCGCCGACATTTCGCGATTCAGTTATGCAAATATCATGCCATGCTTGCGGGCACAAATCCCCATATACAGTTTTAATTTTTTATACAACTCACCAACAAAGTATGTGTTTATTTGGTTGGCTTTAAATCACTTTATTTTTGGAGACTGCCAAGCTGCCCAAACCGAAATCTGTGAAACGAGTTCAAAATCTATCACCTAATGGTTTAAATTAAGCCCTCAGTAACCACTAAATGTAGTGCCTTACTAATTCCGCACTTAAGAAACGAACTTAACAAGAAAAAATTACCCCATTTTCGAACAAGTATTTGTGTATAACCTTAGTTTATTCTCACTAAAATTCTTTGTAACGACCTGTTAGTTCATACTTGCAGTATATATATTCTAAAGCGATAGGACTAGTAATTCAGCTAATTTAATTAAGATTCTTAATTTTCAGATATTTGTGTATGGGCTTCAATAGTCTGTTGGCTCATGCCTCTGTAAACCACTTACATCTCCACTTATGGCAATCACCAGAATACTTACGAGCTATGTCCACAGTAAGTAAATCGATATTTTGTGGTCAAGTAAACTAAGCATGAAGTAACTTTTCCCTCCAGTGTAAACATTGACCACTACATTTCCATACTCCATATGTTAACGTAGATTCTTACTGTGTCGTGCATGATTGTAAAAATGATTTGCGAACTATCAGTTTTACTTGATTAAAGAAACGATGTGCTTAGCTGTCCTTCAAGTCACATAAAGTTATCCATGTATAGTATTTTTCAGTTTTTAATGAAAGAGACTAAAATGATACGATTAGTGTAGTCTGATTTGTTAGCATTTAACATTCAGTATATTTTATGCACGTACAAACTACTAGCTTTTAAAATGGGATTTACAGTAAATACTAACTAAAACTAAGAGTACTTTTCCAAAAAACTTTTTGGATCAATTTTATTATCGAAATCAACTCATGTCAACTAAAACTATCTAAAATAGCACAATCAGTCACTTTCATTAGTAGCCAACATGTTTTAGATGCATCTGAACTAAAGCGAAAATTTTAGAATTGGAAGTAAAACTTGGTAGTGTTCGACTGTTGGATTACTTTCGTTATGTTGACAATTCGTTTTCAAAGTGACGCATGACTTTTTTAAAACGTACCTAATACGGATGCACACATATATCAAGAATTAGCTGCGTAGCTCAAAGTTGAAACGAAGACTTCTTAGGCAGTCATATGAGTTTGTGGATCGTGATTAAATTATCCTTCTTGAAAAAGACAGCCCCAGTAAACTTCTATGGTATATGTGTTAAGATGTTACGTAATTAAAGTTAGTAGATAAGAAACCTTCTACTTAGTTTCCTTGTTGGTTGGCACTCGTAAGCAAGTCGTACCTATTTTGGCACCCCTCTGCTGGTCTCAACACATCCATGAAGCTCAAAACTTACCGCACAACTCAGACTATCAGTCAGTGATTTAGCATATCCCGCCTTGATTTGATTTAGTTAACTCGAACGTTCATACAATTTAATTCTACTCTAGTTAGCATTATAAACTCAATTAGTTCTGTATCAAGGCTCCACAATAACATAAAACATCAGTTCCGATTAGATAGTGGTGAGTCAGATTGACAAAATATAATCAGTTAGTTACATAAGGTTTGAAAAATTAAGTTTAAAACAGCGAATTTTCATAATGAGTTAATGATTACCAATAGTTACGCAATTAAAATTGGATGTAAATATAGGTTTTTTTATTTGTGAAATTGATGATAAATTATTAGTAGGACGGGTGCAGTTAAAATTAGATATGATTCATAAACAGGTTACGCAATATTAGAATCGGAACTTTAAATGTCAAAAAATCGAAGCTCGGAAACTTTTTAAGATATGGAGAGGAAAGGTTTGGAAACATGTAATGGTATATAAGTAGAAGGCCAAGGTAGATTCAAAGATTGTGTAAACCTCTGTATACAAGGGTTGGGTTTTTATGTGTATTGCCATGGCTTCTGTTATATGTAAGAGTCGGGTTTTGGAACCATGGGGAAAATTCGGTGAGATTTTATAAATAACTTTAAACGCTGAATTTTTATCTATGGGATGACCGGTATCGACCAGAAGCACTTTCATTTGTCTTTTGGTCAGCCGTTAAGGGTGATGCTCAGAAATACGATATATTTGTCTAGTTGTGCGTCCAATATAACAGGCTCCGTAGGAGCAGTTGAAATTGTAAATATACATAGAGGCAAAGAGACGAGGAAATTTAACTTTATTTCATCAAATCACTATTGGCCGGCTGAGGAAAGTAAGACATAATCATGCCGCGTTGGATGTACGTTCTGAGGTTTTTGTATACATCGAGTTACTATCACGCTGAATATATCACCTTTGAACTGTAATTTCAAGAATATAGGCTTTCTTGGTACCGTCGACGACTTTATTTTAGGTTAATTTGCAGAAATATGTTGCATTAAGAACCTTAGTGGGTTTGCTTGCCTACGTAATAAGTCCTGAATAAGTTTTAGCTTCTCTTCAAGAATGTCATTAGAACAAATGATTTTGGCTCTGTGGGTCAAATATTTGGCTGTGTCTTTCGTCTTTTTATGTCTCGATGAGAATATTCAACGATTTCTATATTCATACGAATATTCGTCAAGATTAGAACGAATAGTTTGACAGAAATTGGGCGCCGAGTATAGAGAAGTAATTATATGTGACAATTATATTTGAAATAATCTCAGCGATTGAAATTTAAATAATTCCAACGTTTCGTCCAGACAAGTTAGCTGGATGAAACGTTGGAATTATTTAAATTTCAATCGCTGAGATTATTTCAAATATAATGTTCACATATAATGATATCTATGTTCAGTTAAACGAGGAAATGGGATAGGTAACAGATTGAACTGTATGGACTATAAAATTCATTAATGCTGAGTCCTATTTCTGTTTTCAACAAGCAATATAGAGTAAGCAACTGTTTTCTGTTTTAATATTTCACACTTTGATTTAGGTTTTAAAAATACGTAGTCGCTTTTCTTTATTATTTTATAAATTACGGTGCGTTTTTTTCTTAAAAATAGACTAGTCTTAAAGACAAGTAAAGCATACTTTTCTTTATTTCTAGGATATTAAATTGAAATATGAAAATTCACTTTACTATGAACTGGTTAATCATCCCGTAGATAATTTTGTTCTTGAATTAACCGATTTGACAGAACTGGATCGGTTTGTGAAGTTAGTTCATTCTTTTTCTCTTTTTTTAAATTTGATCATCAATTACGGAATCAACTTTGACGTTATATGTTTTTATCCTTAATTCAACCTGATAAACGACATATTGACAAAACAAACTAAAATATATTTTAATTAGTTGTAGGTGTTATATAGCTAATCATGTGTACTTTTAGCAAGCTACATTAAATGTAGGTTAATTACCTGAATTCCGCAGAAAATTAAATTATCGACTTATTTCTCTATTTCATTATTAATCCAAACTTAGTGAGAATGTAGGCATATGTCAGTATGAGACTGTTTATATCTGTCTCTTGGTATTCAACTTATTTTTATCTGTGTAGCTGCAAATATTATTTCACACAAAAATTGGTCACTAATTCTAGTTCCACTGTGAGTATTACACAAGTTCTTGTCTGTAATCTTGAACGCTATCTCATTTCATATAACTTTGCATTACTGCTGCTTAATAAATATACCCATTAGAGTAAAGCGATGCTTTAGAGAAGTGACTTACTAAACCACTATACTCTCTTAGTATAACTGTATTGGGTTGGGAATCATTGTTATATAGTATTTTTTTAATCCGTTGATAACTATTCACATATTTCAACGAAGACGCTGCAGTTGGTGTAACTATCAATAGAGATAGTTAATTTGATAAAGTCGTCTACAATTTGCTAGTCGCTTTAATTGCTGTGCAAATGAACAGCGCAACTGTATGTTGCTTACTTTCATTGCTTATTATTGGTAAAATGCCAGAGAAACATATTCATTTGTTTTACCTCGATGTTCATGAACAAATTTGTTTTATTGAAGTCTAGTAGAATGTAAAGTAATGGGCAACTTATGATCCATTCTGTCATATTATTTTGAGTATGCAAACAACAAAGTTGGTTAGAATTAATGAGGACATTCATGTGAATGAAAAACGCACATACTACAGGCTTATCAAACAACTTAGATAATCTGACATGTTGCTAATCGAAATGATATAGTGTTTGTTTAAATGAAAATCTTAACATTCATCTCAATAATTTCAAATATCCAAAAGACGTACCGTTTAACTGAATGTACCAAAACTTATTATTTGGTACTTTAAAGCTAAAATATTATCCGTGGTCGCACGCTATACTTTTCAACTAGAAATAGTCGCATTTTTGAGCAGCTATCGTGGTTTTCCTTGAGTCCAACATTACATCATTGACGTAAATACTAACCGTTTTTTGATAGTCCACATACGGCGAGTATTTTACTCAGTTGGCGGTACTCCCGTATTGCAACAACTACAACTGCATAGAATTTTAACTAAAATCATTGTCTGAACCTGGTTCCATGGCATCCGATGTATTTGTGAATTATGAGGAGTAGATATGACGTATATCTCACTTTTCCAAATATTGGTATTCATCGACAATTATTATGTTATTTTAACGCATCAAATTCAGAAACCATCTGATTAGCTTCAGACCCGGTCGTGGCTGTATCAACCACATATATTTACCATTCGTCAGGTCTAGAACATAGGCATGCTTAACGGCATGTCTGTCATTGAAAGGTGTACCACAGAAGTACATAAACCTTGTGAAGGCTCTTTACTCGAACACTACTACTCGAGTCAGAGCTTATGGCGAACTGTCATCTGATCTTGCAACCTCAAGTGGTGTCCGTCAAGGCTGTCCACTATCTCCATTTTCGTTCAACTTCATCATAGACATGCTGGTGGAAATGACGTTCTCGTCGACTGGATTCCCAGGCATTCAGCTCCAACCAGGAGGTCCAATTATCGGTTTAGAATTCGCAGATGAAATAGTCTTGTTTGGCGAAGACGCAGATAAAATGCAGTCTCTTGTTATTACTGAGCAACAATGCCAGGATGTTTGGAATGATCTTCTCTCCCTCTAAATGCAAGTTGTTGCTTCAGGACTGACCTGCGTCAACACCTGAACTAAGGATGGGGAGTTAAGCAGTCGAATGCGTCGACAACTTCACTTATTTTGGAAGTGTGTTCAGCCCAAATGGGTTGGTGTCAGACGAAATCTCAGCACGAATTCGTAAAGCTCGTTTGGCTTTCGCTAACTTACGTCACCTATGGGGAAGGCGAGATATCCATCTATCAATTGAGGGATGAGTATACTGTGCAGCTGTGAAACGTGACCATTAAGTGTAGAAGATACTCGTAATAGTGAGGTTAGATGCAGGGTATTATGGTATGATGGTAAATCAGTTGATGAGGTTGTAAATCTTCATCGACTGAGATAGTTGGGCGACTCGTTGCGTATGCCTGAACGCCGACCACCACAGCGCTCAATGCTGACTGGTGTTGGGGATGGTTGGAAGGAAGTTAGGGGCGGCCAAACCAAAACTTGACATCAGTGCTTGGAGTCACTAACTCCTGGTCTGAGCCGTGTTGATAGATCCAGAGTATTTGGTTGGGGTCCGCGCGACTATCGTAACCATTGGTTGGAGACTCTGGATGACATGGCTCAGAATCTATCACAATAGCATCGTTGTATACACTCTCTGTTTTCCCTTAAACTGTGAGGCTATAATTGATTTGTATCTTTCTTTTTACCAACTAATTCTTCCTTTCTGTACTTTATCCTTAAACACGATCTTTCTTTCATACATTACTACAGCTGAGTCAACTACTATGAATTTGCTGTTCATCATGTGCTAATGAGGCATGGCAACTTGGACTTATGTATATATGTGCCTGGTCCTATGTTGTAGCTGACTGAATACACGTAATCGACTGGCCAAGTATACTCTTAACGTTGATTAGCCAGGTATCGTGTGCGCTATAGAACGCTACTTAGTGGTAACCTGTATATTATGTTTACAAGCAACCGTAATTGTATTGATATCTTTCTGAAATGTGTTTCATTCTAGCTATTCATGGATAGTAATCTCATCTTGTCAACATCTACAAATTGCTCACAATGTATTTGTAGCACGTTCCAAATCCACTGGCTGTGTACGTGTTGTTGTCTGGCCGCGTTGCTCAGTTTTTGAAGTAAAGAACCTATCTACAATTGATTCAGAACCCAGTTTTTATGTCGCTGTTGCCGAACTCGCCGGAATGATGGTTGTTGCTAGTGAAGATGTTGCCTGTACGTTGAACTTTGATAAAGTAGAAACTATCTTGCGTAGCGAACGTCTACCCAGAGGCACCATCCATGCCCTCGAATGCAAAGTATTCGAAACTGTAAGTATCCAAGAAGCGTAACTAAGATCAGATTAACTTATTTTGAAAAGTATCCACAAACGTGCACCTCACACTTTTACTATTCTGATTCCATTTACTGTCCAAATTTTGTTATACAATGTAACAAAACCGGGAATTTGTTACTTTGATATTGTTTACTTTACCTGCTTTTACTTTCATTACATCCCCACTTTTGAATGATCAAGAAGGCTTCCCTCTCCACAAATTGTACTCATTAGTTGAACTCCTTACGACAGCTCCATGCCATGCTAATTACCATTTTTAAGTAAATACATTACCAGCATGAACATACTTTACACAGATTCCGTTTATATGGAGAGTGGTGTTTCCTAATTAAACACTGTTCGTACAGACACGATGCTAACATCCTTTTAAGTATGGGTAACCATTATTGTTTGTAGAATGAGCACTGCGCAATAATATGGGACATAGCTGCAGGAAACATCAATGGAACAGTCAGAAACGCTTTGACTGAATTGAAACTATCTTCATCGTTCTCTGGATGTCAAAGTAGACGTAGCAAGGGAAGCAATACACAAGTGCTACTGAGATATGCTTTCATAGTTGTTCAGGGAACCCATATGAACCGTCACGGTGTGTTGAAGCAGGTGGGCTCGAACTTTCCTCATATTACAGATAAAAACTAAATCTGCCCAAGGATCCTGAGGATAGGCCACGAATCGCTGTTACAAAACCCTAATATCTAAGTTTTCCCTACACTTAAAACACTTTGAGGATTGGGCTTTTCCCAAAATATGCTAAGGCCAAAGATTTGACTGTAAACCACCCGAAATTGACAAACTGCGACAAAGCGGACATATTTCCCCTACCACGAACCAGTTCACAAGGGAACAAAGGCAGCCACCCATAATACAAGTAGAGCGCGCAGTCTACTTTATTTATGCTCTCAAGCAACAAGTCAGTACCGTGTTGCCGAAAACTAGAACTTTGACAGGTTGTTTAGGTAAAATTGCTAGATTTCTAGCATCTTGGGTAAAGAACAGTATATTTCACACAATGTTGTCGTCCCTACTTCGAAATTCTGAAGACTCCGCGCATCTCCACTAGCCAGCCTATACGCAAAAGCTTACAACTTACTAAGGATCCATCGTAAGCTTCCTAACAACAATGGGACGAATACACTGCCGCTCTTCTAAGTATTGTCAACTCAATGCTACTGACGCCGCCGTTACGTACCATCGACGATTTATGCACGAGTTTGGCACACGTTAATGCCTAATCCCGTTCAATTCCGTAATACGGAAGTTGTAGCACAGCCAGGGTACTAGAAGCACTAACCCAGAACTATAAAACAAGTCAAGTAATGCAATGTTATTTAGAGAATATATTTGGAAGCCATGTAAGGAAACCTAAACCACACGTATGGGCATCTGTTGTCTCCCGTTGACCTTCATTATTAGTCATCATATACCTAGAGACAAAAAACATGGATTAATCACTCATACCATGACATTCATAGGCGTATAAACGTGAATACTTATATTAGACAAGCCTCAGCCGCTCCTCGATATAATCACTGTGATGACTTACCAAAGCATGCATTCAGTTTGGTACTTCTGAAAAAAAGAAAACACTTAATCAAAAATCAGAGTAACTATGACCAAGAGGAACACAAGCACTTCAAGGTAACCAGAACGGAACCTGAAGTAAGCTAACCAAGGTACGATCATCCTTTTGAACTTACCGGATCGCCATCGAAAGGTCTCAGTAATGCGTATAGTTTCTCAGATCTGTTACTTGACAAGCAAAAACGTTAGGTAGGTAGGCCATTCCTGATTGTCCTGACACATCTGAAAAACAATAAGGCACTATTAGAAAGATCAGAGTAACTATGACAAGATGGTACACAAGAAACCAAGTGCAACCAGAACGGTCGACTTAAGTCAGAATAACCGAACACTAATTATCATCATGAGAACCAAACCAACCTTAGGTAGTGCGTGTTCTTGACCACCACGCACATATCAAGTCTGGCAAACAGGTCGTCCCGCCCTTGACGATACATAGGACTATTCAAACAACGTTTATAAAGTGTCAATAACTGACCCGTATCCATTTTACATCAAAACGAGTCGTCTCAAGTCAATGAAAAGCAGCTCCGAATGTAGGTAAGACGTTCTAAGTTAAGGAGAAACGCAATCTTTATACGGATTCTTCATGAAGTCGTACCAGTATATAAACTGTAGTCCGCTTGCGAGCTTATTCAATAATTTGAATAGACTTTAACCTTTTAGATGACATTTAACTACTGAGTAAATTTCATTTTTAAAATTGTTCCTTCACCACATGTACCTCTTTTATTTACGGTCTTGTTAGCTCTACACATGCTGTCTGTGCATATTCTTATTCTATCTTATATCTGTTTCCTTGCTCGTATTATCCACCATCTAGTTCTGGCTATGTCTTTACTTATCGAGAGTAGTTCTCTTAGTGGACACGCCTTTCCTTCTCCGCCCAACATTTTACTCCTCGTCGATTTCAAATCGACGAATTAACTTGGATTATATCTGAACCTATGTCCTAAAAAGGCAAGAGCATTCATCTAAATTTTAACTAATTAAAACCTGAATATTACATTTTGCACCACAACAAAGTTGTGGGAGTCGAGTGAATGACTCACGACAATGTTTTAAGAGTCCAAACTTTTCGCATCTACTGTAGGGTTACATATTTTCTTTTTTTTGTAACTTTGGCTGAGTAATATGCAATACAGAACGTGAGTCCAAAAAGGATTTTGAAGCTAAACGGGGGTTGGTTTGGGCCATCTTTTCTTCTTCACGTCATCTATTTCCCATTGGTCGCAGCAAGCACACTAGAACTATTTGAGATGATAATGGTTTTGTCTTGGTCATCAGTCGCCGCTGTAGTAACCTGGTCACTAGTATCTAATGGTGTTTAGGGATATAAATCCCTATTGTTTGGGTGTCTGACACGTACCGTTGTGGTGCTTGTTATTATGTTAGGCCCATATATATTATTCCAGCTTTCGGACTTACTTACTTACGCCTGTTACTACTAATGGATCATAGGCCAACAACCAGCATTCTCCAATACACTCTGTCCTGGGCCTCCCTTTCTAAGTCCATCCAATTCTTGTTCATTTCCCTCATGTTCTTTGGTCATCCTCTTCTCCTCCTTTGACCTTGAGAATTCCATGTGAGGACTTGTCTTGTGACGCAGTTGGGTGCTCTCTTCAATGTGTGTCCTATCCACTTCCAGAGCTTCTTCCTAATTTCTTCCTCTACTGTGATCCGGTTTGTTATCTCCTACAGTAAGTTGTTGCTAATAGTGTCTGACCAACGGATCCTAAGTATTTTGTGTAGACAATTGTTAATAAACACCTATATCTTCTGGATGATGGCTTTCGTAGTTTTCCAGGTTTCTGCCCCATACAGTAGAACTGTCTTGACATTTGTATTGAAAATCCTGACCTTGGTGTTGGTTGACAGTTGTTTTGAGTTACAGATGTTCTTCAGTTGTAAATATGCTGCTCTTGCTTTGCCGATCCGCGCATTCACATCTGCATCAGATCCACTGTGTTCACCAATGATGCTGCCCAGATATGTGAAGGCTTTTACATCTTCCAAATCTTCTCCGTCAATTTTGATTGGATTGGTGCATGCTGTGTTGTATCAGAGAATCTTGCTTTTCCCTTTGTGTATATTGAGACCTACTGCTGCTGAGGCTGCTGCTCCACTGGTCTTCTTCTCCTGCATTTATTGTTGCGTGTGCGATAGAAGGGCCAGATCATCTGCGAAGTCTAGATCATCCAACTGCATCCGAGATGTCTATTGTATCCCGCGTTTCCCTTCAGATGTTGACGTCTTCATGATCCAGTCGATCAGCAGGAGAAAGAGAAAGGGTGAGAGTAAGTAACCTTGCCTGACACCGGTCCCTACTTCGAACGAGTCTGTCAATTGTCCTCCATGCACGATTTTTCAGTTTAATCAATCATAGGAATTCTGTATGATATTGACTATCTTTTATCAGGTTCGTTAAGCTTGAATCATACTCCTGATTCGGCTTATTCGGAACGAAACGAAGGATCAGGATTCAGAGACTCGATAGGCTATTCTGGTCCATTGTCCCCAAATCAGCTAACTCGATCAATAAGTCTTGATAAGACGTAGAAGTCTATTCTATAGGCAATCAGCAGATATCAGGTCAAGTCAATCAGGCATACAAATCAAGAGTATTTATACAAATATTTACAATCGATATTGTCATACTGAAATGTTTTTAAACATTAATCAGTAAGTTTGTAGAACTATAGTCTACTATGATATTAGTACTGCTCTAATAATAGACCTAATCCTAAATTTTTAGATTTGTCATGATATAACTGCCTAATCTATAAGATCTTACGTGGAAGTCACACCATCGACTACACCAACTCACTGTATCGTATCAATTACCAATACATGATGAAGAACAAGGTTAGGCTAGAGAAAGAACAATATATTTAATATGAATAGAAGATATGAGGTAACATTCAGCAGAGACCACGCCTGCATGGCCGAGCCATGCCACTCGATCAACTCCAATCCATTCAATTCATTCTTCGCGCCTTCTCCATCGTTAAATATTTATCCGCGTTAAATATTGACTATCTATTTTCTGAGTAGTCTTGTGTTCAGTTTTGTGGATTGTGCGGTTATTCAATGCCATTACAAGTTCATCAATCGACAGCCATTCAAATATTTGATCGATAAGTTCGTCAATTGACTGCTATTTAATCATTTAATCGATAAGTTCATCAATTGACTGCCATTCAAATATTTAAACATTTAATCGATAATTTAATCGATAAGATGAAATTAAAAAATATGAGTTTTGGGGATTTATCGTCCTCAACATCTTCTGAGGCACGCCATAGTGTCGAAGAAGCTTCCATAGTGTTGTTCTGTCCACGCTATCAAATGCCTTTTCGTAGTCAATGAAGTTGATGTAGAGTGATGAATTCCATTCAATTGATTGTTCCACAATGATCCGTAGAGTTGCGATTTGGTCTGTACACGATCTATCCTTACGGAATCTTGCCTGTTGGACTCGAAGTTGGGCGTCTACGCAGTCCTTCATTCTGTTTAACAATACACTGTTGAAGACGTTTCCCGGTATTGTGAGAAGAGTGATGCCCCTGTAGTTATCACACTTGCTGAGATCGCCTTTCTTCGGTATTTCGACCAGGAGTCCTTCTTTCCAGTCTGTTGGTACTTGTTCCTCATCCCAAATCTTATTGAAGAGAATGTGGAGTATCCTTGCAGTTACTGCTACGTCTGCTTTTAGTGCCTCTGCTGGGATGTTGTCCGGTCCTGCTGCTTTGCCACTCTTG